GAACAAGATTATCATTTGAATTTTAAATCTTTTCATAAAGTTTTGAGCCAAGCTGTATAAGCATTTTGAATATTATGTGTGTATATATACTTATGTCATTTAAATATTATGTGTATTTATGTGTGCCAGTGTGAGTACGTGCCACATGGGTATACTTACTTGAGGAGGCCAGAAGGGAGTTGGGTGACAGGTGGTGCTGAGAGCCATCTGCTCGCTCAGGTCCTAGGAATGGAGCTTAGGTCCTCGGAAGGAGCAGGGAACACTCTTGGTCCTTGAGCGATCTCTCAGTTTCTATATTTTATTTATTTATTGTACGTGTGTGTGAATGTGGGCATGCGCCAAGGCACTTGGGTCAGAGGACGTTTGTCTTTCAGCAGTCAGTCCTTGCATTCTAGTCCATTGTTTCTGCTCTTCCACGGCTTCTTCCAGGCTAGCTGGCGCACCACACCAGCTTTTTACCTAGGTTCTGGGGATCCAGTGGAACAGGTTTGTCAGGCCAGCGGTTAAGGCTGAGCTAGCTTCCTTGCCCTATTATTCATGCCTTATACATATGACTTTTTTGTTTGTTTCTTTGTTTCCAGACAGGGTCTCACTACGCAGGTCTGGATGTCCTGGAACTCACTGTAAACCAGGCTGGCCTCAGACTCACAGAGATCCACCTGCCTCCGCCCCCCACCCCCACCCCGGTGCTGGAATTAAAGGTGTGAGCCACCACTGTCCATTCATTCAATGTGTATAATGCATCTGATCACAGTTTTAAAATCTTAGCTGTGTCTGGTGGAAACTCGGGAGGCTGAAGCAGAAATATTGCCTGGGTTACAGGGTGAGTTCAAGATCAGTTTGGGCAATGTAGTGAGATTCTGTCTCAAAATGAAAAGCGGAGAGGCTGGGGGCGCGGCTTTGTGGTGGAGCCCTTGCCTACGGAGAGTGAAGCCCTAGGTTGAATTAAAAATTCAATCCTGTGAGGATTGAATTGGAAAAAGAAATAAATGCTTAACATAGAACAAAAATATCCAACCAGAGAAAATTTCCTCAGACAGGAGTGTACAGAGGAGGCAGATTGGGACAGCGGTGAGCCGAGTGTGGGAAGAGTCTGCTAAATTTACTCTATGTTTTAACATTTATTTTTTACACTTTCTGATTTGTGTGTGTGTGTCTGTGTCTAGGTGTATCTGTGTGTGTGTGTGTG